CCATGAAAATCCCAGGCATATAGTCAGATGATGGAATTTGAAAATCAATAGTCCATTTTCATCATTCTCATGGTACTATTAAATAGAATTGGAGGTACTTCCTACAAGGAAATCATCATTTCAACCATCTTTAATATGGATAAATACAAAATAGCATTTCTGGCTTACTATTTGTACATTACTCCACAATAACTATCTATTTCGGTGGGGTTTTTATTCTACACCAAAATTCAGCTTAGGGTGGAGTGGATGAGGGGATGAAAGCCAACTTGAGTGATAACTTGGAGCTTCAACTAAATCAAGCTAAACCGCATAGAAATCTCCACATGGGTGTGATCGGGTTTCTGTGTTGAAGTGGAGGGTGTGTTTCAGGTAGAGAATTAGTCAAAATAATTTGATAGTGACAAGATATGGGATTTGAAGACAAAAAAAAGACTGCTGCTTCAATATTTCCACCAATACTTGCATACACCCACCTGAGTAATTCATGGTTGTTGAAAGTATATTTAAAAAGGAAAAACTTTTGCTCATCTTCACTTTAGCCCTAACTCTTTATTGCCAAGAAATGAATTGTAAAATTCACTTAATAAAACAAGCAATATACAGACAGAACTATATGTCTAAAGCAAATTAAACTGAATACTGAACCATATTAAACGGACTCAGAATAGCAGTGAAGGATTAAGCTCTAATACATGAAAAGCACAAATGTTTTGTCCAGGCTAAAATCTGAGAAAGTGAAAAATAAAGCCAAATCATAATTAATTTTTCTTTAAAGATTATGAACATCATACATTACACATTTGCCAAGCGTGGCTTTGTGTGATCACCTCATGAACCTGTTCTGGGACAAACGTCTCAGGAAGGTAAATGAATAACCAAATAATGAATACTATTTCAGTCAACTTTACTGCATGGAAGCTGGGAGTTGATCTAACTGATCTATCCTGATGTATATGCTAAGCGCAGGCCTCCTACTAACCCTTATTCAGTTCATCAGTAACCCCTTCAATTCATTTCTTTCATTTGTTTATTCAGCTTCCTCTTAAAATGACTGTGCCCTGTGATAGCTGGTTCCACATTTTCCCCACACTCTGGATAAAGGAGTTTTCCCTGAATTCCCTACTACATTTATTTGTGACATTCTTATAACCTGAAAGGGCTCAGAAAAGGTTTACAAGGATGTTGCCAGGGTTGGAGGCTTTGAGCTATGGGAAGAGACTGTAGGATTTGGTGTTCTTCACAAGTGAAAACATTTTCTCCACACCTGCCCTATTGAATCCTTTTATTATATTAAGTCTTTAAATAAGATCATTGCTCATTCTGTTCTCTGGAGAAAACAGCGCAGTCTGCTCAATCTTTTGTGATTTTTATAACTTAGAGATATAGAGTCATAGAGTTGTACAACATGGAAATAGACCCTTCAATCCAACTTGTCCATGCTGACCAGATATCCTAAATTAATCTAGTCCCATTTGCCAGCATTTGGTCATATCCCTCTAAACCCTTCCCATTCATATACCCATCCAGATTCCTTTTAAATGTTATAATTGTACCAGCCGCCACCATTTCCTCTGGCAGTACTACCCTCTGCATTACAATTTTGACCCTTCGGTCCCTTTTAAATCTTCCTCCTCTCACCTTAAACCTATGCCCTCTAGTTTTGGTCTCCTCCACCCTGGGGAAGAGACCTTGGCTATTCACTCTATTCATGTCCCTCACGATTTTATAAACCACTATAAGGTCATCCCTCAGCCTCCGATGCTCCAGGGAAAATAGCCCCAGGCTATTCAGCCTCTTCCCATAGCTCAAAGCCTCCAACCCTGGCAACATCCTTGTAAACCTTTTCTGAGCCCTTTCAGGTTTCACGACATCCTTCCTATAGCAGGGAGATGAGAATTACACACAATATTCTAAATGTGGCTTTACCAATGTTGTGTACAGCCTCAACATGACCTCCCAATTCCTATACTCAATGCACTGACCAATAAAGGCAAGCATACCAAACACCTTCTTCACTATCCTATCTACCTGCAACTTCACTTTCAAGAAGCTATAAACTTGCACTCCAAGGTCTGTTTGTCAGCAACACTCCCCAGGACCTTACCATTAAGTGTATAAGTCCTGCCCTGATTTGCCTTTCCAAAATGCAGCACCTCACATTTATCTCAATTAAACTCCATCTTCCACACCTCAACCCATTGGCCTATCTGAACTCTGGGGTACCCTTCTTCACTGTCCACTATACCTCCAATTCTGGTGTCATCTGCAAACTTACTAATCATACCTTCTATGTTCACCTCCAAATCATTTATACAATGATGAAAAGCAGTGGACTCAGCACCAAGATGCATCCTGGACCTATAGATAACTGGAAATTAGATAGTGCAATGCTATAGGGAAAGCTTGTTCATCCCAGTGTAGCGCTCTGCTGATTTCTAAGCTTAGTTGATAGCTTTGTAAAGATACTTCAAGATAATGTTGCTCCATGAAATCTTGAGATTGAATGTATGTAATTTTCCTTTCTTTCAATAATGCCATCTTTTGCAATGCTTTGTGGACAAACCTCATGCCTACTGCTCAATGATATGTGAATGCGTGATTTTCTTGCACCACAACTGAGAAGCAAGTGGTTTTATCACATGATCCATCCATTTCTGACACCATACATGACAGCATAGAAAATAGGATAATTAGGCAAGGAATATAACATTGAAATAGCCTAGCTAATTCCATTAATATCAGGTATTGATTGTAAATTTCTCCAAAATGAAATTAAACAATTAATGTTTAGTTATTGTGATAAACTACAGTAATCTGTCATGTTTAAATTTTAATAATGAATTAAATTTAACAAGAACTTTACATACTGCTTATTGTTATGTTGATAACCTTATTGTCACATTTGTGTTAATAAAGTTATGTTGGTTCTCGGATTTCTGTACCCTACTCCATCTTTAAATAATTTTGGCAAGAACAAGTCAACTCACTCACAACAGTAAAAAGGGATTTGCTTATTTCATGTAAATATGAATGCACACTAGGCTGGTGAACAAAATATGGTTCAAAATCACATTGGAAATCTCACAGTAAAATTCTAACTGAGGTTAATGAAATTTGTCCTGATACACTTCTGTATCCATTGCATAGCAGAATTGCTATTACAATCTTTTTGAACACAGTACATCAAAAGGCATTAAAATCTACTCTGGTTGTTCATTTAAACCATCACCAGGTGATGTATAACTCCAATCCGCTACTTTGGCCTCTGTCATAAATGTTTATCATTTTCCTTCTTTGTTCAATTATTGGGTTCACAGCTATCTCACTCAGGGCTATAAGTTGGACACAGCTTCAGAGCCTGTAATACTTCAGACAGAGGCACAATAAATAACTAGAAACTTTTACTCAAGCTCTAATCAAGGAATAAATTTTAACTGGGCAAAAAAGAAAACTGATGGACATTTAAGACACAGTTTGGAGCTACTCTTTACCTGGTGACAATTCTTAGTGGACTTCTGGATCTTATTATTCATGTTGCTGTTTTCATGCATGAGATTAGAACTGTAATAACAATGTTGCGTGCAAGATATATTAATCAGATTGTCAGGAAAGTTCCATCAACTTCAATTCCAAATCAGAAACTGGACATAAGTTTACTCTAAAGGTTTCGACCCCCTTGCAAACCGTCACCATATTAAAGTATGTTCACATTTACGTAAAATGCACTGGGATAGAAAAGGGACCCTAAAAGGTGTATTCAAAAGAAATCCTAAATGAAAGTCGCCTCCGTTTGCCGATGGTAAATTTCTACTTAAATTAGTTGAACCAGTCTCGATGAAGTTCTAAAGGGCTTGGTGTGAATAATGGAACGATGGAGTGGTCACGTTTAGGGACTAGGGTATTGCATTGATACTGCTGCATGGTTCAGTCCAAACAATCTGTTCATCCTTTACTCTCCACTGAATCACTGTTGCCCTACATTTTAGGTGAGAATACATGATACAGAAGAAGCCGGAAGTGGGAAACTGCAATTAATTGTGGATCATTTGCATTCGTGTAAACGTTCATTACTTCAGACATTTTTAAAAAAAAAATCATGTTAAAACGACTCTATGATTAGCAGCAACATAAAACATGGAAATTTGACATAAATTGAAACATAACTGGTCTCACTCCGCCCACTGGATCTCCGCTGCAAAAGATTTGTAGTTTCGATGAACCAGAGAATTGAGGCATTCTGTTTTTTTGAACATCCTTCATTCTCTTAAAGTTTGGATCCTTTTTAGTGTGAAATTGATTACATTGCGAATGCACAAAACATTGTTCGAGATTAAATTCTAGCCGATCAGTTATTAGCAACCCAGATCTTCGACGCCCCATTACACATAACTCGCTTTCACTTGGATTTTTTTTGCAGGGACCTGTGTACTTTATCGACCTGACGTCGCTTGATAACAGAAAATATCGGTCGAAATCGAAAGTTTTAATAAACCGGAGCTTAAATTGATTGGATTATTGGATAGATCTGACAATAGAGTGCTGTGAAAGTTTGTCTCCTGGTTAACGCTGTTTCACAAACAGTTCGACCACAACCGAGGTCGTTCATGAATCGCGTTACTTTTTCGCAAAACAGACCTCTTCCCCGCCCCCCCACCACAGCAAATGATCAACAATATGAGAAACCAACACTCCCACAACAATCAGTCAGTCCTGTTTTTATTCCATTAAATTCTTACTAATGCTCCGCTTGATTTAAAAAAAAAACAAGAGATAGCAGTGGTTTGATCTTTGCTTTATTTGAATTTATTTATTAAAGACACACACACACACCACACCCGAGACTTCACTGCTTCAGGCGTTTCGGACTTGAGGATAGCAAAACTGGTTGGGCCTCACTCAGGTAATGGGCGGATGCTGAGAGGGTGTAACCGCGTCGCGCCCTCAAATTTCAAGGCGGGGTTTGTGCAGCCAAAAGGGGATTTTTCCTGTGAGTTCGCAGTGTTGCGGGAAGGTGTGGAGGCGGTGGCGTCCTGCGCCGAAGGCTGGATTTTTCTTCAAATATATCTCAATCTCGACAATCGCGGCTGGAATTTGAGGAGTGTTGCAGAGGGCCAGCAGCAGCAGCTGAGGGGATGAGCCTGCACGGTTCTCAGACGACGTTAAATCGTCGCTCGGTGTCCGACCGCCACCACGGTTTCCATTCGTCCGGCGATTATTCCACCCGCAGCGACGGAGGGGGCGATGTCTTTCTGCCTGCGAACCACCTGCAGGGCGGAGGTGACCTCCACCTGTCCAGGCAACATCTGTACGGTCTAGGCTCGGGGGTCGGTGCTGGTGATCTGCTGGGGACCACCAGCACCACCACCTACGGCCGAGTAATATCTTCCTCCCGGAACCCCCGCATCTCAGAGGCCAGAAGCTACGACGTATCCGAGACTACTCAGTACTCCAGGTAAAGGCAAAATGGATTTCTCTTCCTCCCCGAGCAATTTAACCAACTTTGTGGTAAAGTTGGTATGTATTTTAAAACATGCCGTCTTGTTTACTTTTAATGCCGCGGGTGGAGAAAAATTAAAGACGAACTATGTGGGAGAAGTAGGAACTATTTCCTACTTCAAAATTGGGTTGAGAGAGCCTCACCTGTAACTGGGTGTGTCAGTTTTTTTAAAAAAAGTTCTAAAAAATGCCTCCGACACTTCCGCCATCTGCAATCCGACCCCACCACCAAAGACA